ATTCAAGAATTTGTGACTAGTGTTTGATAAAACTTTCTCAAATGGGAAAATGAGCTATGTAACAATTGTATATCTTGCTGAGATGATCAAACTTGGTATTCAGAGTTTTTCATCTGAGGTCATTTAGTGTCTCATTTGAGCAAGTTTGACCAAGTCAAATTTGGTCAAATGAAAAACAACACTTTGACTCTAGTATTATGAACTCTAAATGACTTCAAATTGAAAAGTTTTGAATACCAAGTTTGTTCAACTCATCAAAATCTACAATTTTTGTTTTGGTCAACTTTCCATTTGAGATAGTTTGGACGGTAAAAATTTGTGATTTTTAAATTTCGATGTTTACAAACTAGTTTTCGGAACCCTAGATTGTCTCAAATTGAAAAGTTTTGAATACCAAATTTGTTCATCTCATCAAGATATACAATCCTTATATAGGCCATTTTTTCATTTGAGAAAGTTTGAACAAAATATAGTTCAAATTTCACAAGTGTGTGACATAATTTCAGAAAGTCTATATGAGATTCAAGAATTTATGACTAGTGTTTGATAAAACTTTCTCAAATGAGAAAATGAGCTATGTAACAATTGTAGATCTTGCTGAGATGATCAAACTTGGTATTCAGAGTTTTTTCATCTGAGGTCATTTAGTGTCTCATTTGAGCAAGTTTGACCAAGTCAAATTTGGTCAAATGAAAAAACAACACTTTGACTCTAGTATTATGAACTCTAAATGACTTCAAATTGAAAAGTTTTGAATACCAAGTTTGTTCAACTCATCAAGATCTACAATTGTTGTTTTGGTCAACTTTCCATTTGAGATAGTTTGGACGGTTCAAATTTGTGATTTTTAAATTTCGATGTTTACAAACTAGTTTTCGGAACCCTAGATTGTCTCAAATTGAAAAGTTTTGAATACCAAATTTGTTCATCTCATCAAGATATACAATCCTTATATAGACTATTTTTTCATTTGAGAAAGTTTGAACAAAATATAGTTCAAATTTCACAAGTGTGTGACATAGTTTCAGAAAGTCTATATGAGATTCAAGAATTTATGACTAGTGTTTGATAAAACTTTCTCAAATAGGAAAATTAGCTATGTAACAATTGTAGATCTTGCTGAGATGATCAAACTTGGTATTCAGAGTTTTTTCATCTGAGGTCATTTAGTGTCTCATTTGAGCAAGTTTGACCAAGTCAAATTTGGTCAAATGAAAAAACAACACTTTGACTCTAGTATTATGAACTCTAAATGACTTCAAATTGAAAAGTTTTGAATACCAAGTTTGTTCAACTCATCAAGATCTACAATTGTTGTTTTGGTCAACTTTCCATTTGAGATAGTTTGGATGGTTCAAATTTGTGATTTTTAAATTTTAAATAAATATCCGGATAATATCCGTTTTTAAATATCCGGATATATCCGATACTTATCCGGATTATCCGATATCCGCCGGATATCGATGATATTATATCCGTATTTGATATCCGCCTAAGATATCCGTTTTAGTATCTCAGATCCAGAAAAAAAGCGGATATCCCAGTAACTATCCGATAAGTGTTCATATTTGTTCTTGAGCAAAATCATTTAGTCGAATAAATATCCATACCGTTTTCATCCATATCCTCCGCAAACAGTAGCTAATCTATATACTCTTATAAAGCTAAATCCACTAGATATTTTCTCTCTTCATGTAAGGTATCCACATCATTCCTCATTAAATGTCCCACTAACTTGCAATCCCTTCATAAAAGTTATCCATGTCATCCTTTATTAATTATAAAAAAAATATCCAATTATCTTGTTTATAAAGCTAAACCCCACGAGATGTTTTCTCTCTTCATGCAAGGTGTCCAGATCATTCCTCACTAAGTGTCCTACTAACTTACAATCCTTTCATGAAGCTATCCATGTCATCCCTTATTAATTATAAAAAATATCCACGTCGTCTCTATTATTTGTAATACTTTTAACCTCTAATCTATTAACATAAAGTCATTTACATATGTTATTTGTTTCATCTCCTATTCTTTGATTAAATATTCTATTTGTTTTTCTTCTATTAACCATGTCATCCCTTACTAATAATTACATAAAATGTCCAATCATCTCTATTATGAGCAAATCCTTTAGTCTCTAATCTATTAATGTAAAGTCATTTACATATGCTATTTGTTTCTTCGCCTATTCTTCTATAATATGATCAAATATTCTATTGGTTTCTCTTCTATTAGCTTACTGATTTTTTCCACATCTGATACAATAAAATAACATGCAAGTCAAATTCATATTTACACACACGGTATACATAATACTATAGACTTTTATAAAGCTAAATCTCACTATATGTTTTCTCTCTTCATGTAAGGTGTCCACATCATTCCTCACTAAGTGTCCCACTAACTTGCAATCCTTTCATAAAAGCTATCCATGTCATTCTTTATTAATTATAAAAAATGTCCAATCATCTCTATTATAAAGTTAAACCCCACTAGATATTTTCTCTCTTCATGCAAGGTGTCCACATGGTTCCTCACTAAGTGCCCCACTAACTTGCAATCCTTTCATGAAGCTATCCATGTCACCTCTTATTAATTATAAAAAAATATCCATATCATCTCTATTATTTGCAATACTTTTAATCTCTAATCTATTAACATAAATTCATTTACATATGTTATTTGTTTCATTACCTATTCTTCGATCAAATATTCTATTGGTTTTTCTTCTATTAACCATGTTATCCCTTATTAATAATTACATAAAATGTTCAATCATCTCTATTATGTGTAATACTTTTAATCTCTAATCTATTAATGTAAATTCATTTACATATGCTATTTGTTTCATCGCCTATTCTTCTATAATGTGATCAAATATTTTATTGGTTTTTCTTCTATTAGCTTACTGATTTTTTACCAGATCTGATACAATAAAATAACATGCAAGTCAAATTCATATACACACACGGTATATACAGAATACTATAGAGCAATGTTATGTATAAAACATATTATTTTTAAGAAAATACCGTGGCAACACGCGGGGTATGCTTCTTATTCTTTAGAAAATAGAATCCAATGTCTGTTAGCAGTGATGATGATTAGACTTTATCACATTAATAACCAAATGTTTATGATTATTTTGAGAATTTCTAAGATTTACATTTTATCTAGCATGTTTCGTCCAAGAAATGGTGGTTTTGAAGCGAAATGGTGGTTTTGCTCTCATTCTTTTAACTTTGTGATTTTATCCCTATAATTAAAAAAGAGAAAAATTCACGGCCGGTTCTCGAACTTGGTGTGGGGGTGTCATCCAGGTCCATATACTATCAAAGTACTATTTCTAAGTCCATGAACTTAGCTTTGGGTCTCATCTATGTCCAAACGGATGTGGTGCGCTGATTAGGCATCTTGAACGATGACCCTAGTCATCTTGCGGTCCTTGAAGAATGCCTTTGTATCTGGTAATGTTACCCATGAAGGCTCCAAGATCTAGCACGCTGCCAGCACCAGCGAGCGGGTGCATCGACAGTAGCGGCACCACTCCGAGCCTGCTTGCAATGCCTTCCAGACCGCCGGCATGTCTCGGCAGTTAGAGGCCATTGTAGCCACATCGTAGACGTCCTCGCCAAGAGATAGCTGCACGGACACCAGGAATCCGGCTATGTCGTTGGGAAGTTTGTTGTCGCCGTTGACTATCTTCATCAGGTACGAACGTGGTAGGCTCGGTGTGTGTGACCCACGACACCCCTGGCCGGCTTATCAAATGGAGCGCCCTGGTAAGCTTCGCCACGGGGATGCCGTGCAGGCAGAGCTCATCGCACTTGAGGCCGCACCCTCTGAGGTACGAGACAGAACTCACGGCATGGGGGTCGAAGGCCGGGTCGAAGTTGGATAGGTTAAACTCCCACGCTGCGATTTTTCCGACGTCGGTGAAGACGACGAGCCTGAGCTGTAGCGGCTTGAGGGCGTCCACGTTGGCCTTCACCGTGGCATACCGCTGCTCCGCGGTGAGAGCAATGAGGTCATGATGGTCGGCGCCATGGACAACGTCGGGTAGTGCAGGTCCACCGAGACGTAGCGTGCGTGCGCCGCGAAATAGCCGATGGCACTGAGCTGGGAGTCAATCGAGGAGGTGCATCGCGCTGGCCTCGAGTACATCCACGCCATGGGCTCGCATGGCAACATCAAGTCCTTGAACATCCTCCTGCGATAGGTCCACGCGCATCGCCGCGGTCGCGCTCGGGAGCCCACGGTGGCATCGGGACCTGGACCTGCTCGTCGTTTCCATTGGCAGTGACGAGGCCGACTAGAGGGAGTGGGAACGGGGTGCGACAAGGGAGCTGAGGGGGCTCGGGCAGGGGGCATCACGCTAGGGGGTGGTGGCGTGGCCTAGGGAGTCGCGGCACAGGGGCGGCGGCTACCGGTGTTTTTTTTTCCGTGGACGAAGAGAGCTCGAGACAGAGGACTGAGATAAAGGAGAAGCTTGACAAGTGGAACGCATATGTCGGATGCACAGTCAACGTGCCACGTCACCATACACTACACAACACCAAGATTAGCGATGGATGGTCTGACACTTAAAAGTGGCTACAGCGACAGACAATCTGACGCTAAAAAGTTATAGCGACAGACTTCTGCAGACACTGTAAATCCTGTCGCTAAAAATCTTTAGCGTCAGACAATACTTTTAGCGACAGACAGTCTGCTGCCCTGAAATATTTATAGCAACAGATAGTCCATTGCTACTTTTTAACAACAGATAGTCCATTGCTACTTTTTAGCGACAGACTGTGCAATTGTACATATGGTTTTAGCGACAGACAGTCCAACGAGACCATTTTAAATGGTTAAAAAATAAAAATTAATCCATCAACAATTGTCCACAATAATACAAATGTCACTACACAACTAAGATTCAACTTCAACAAACATACATGCATCTTCACAAATTTGACCAAAACTTTACAACAGCTCACATAGATAAGCTCACCATCTCATCTATTTCCTCTAGAGACAATAAGAACATCCTTTGAAAAGCACAAATTATCATACAAGATTCCACTTGTTCCACCCATCACCCTTCGGATTGTTGCCCCAATTTCATTTATTGTTCCAGCTTGCATCATCCATAGGGTAACTGGAATAGAGAAAAAATGCACTAAATTTTGGTCATATTTTACATGAAAAAAACGAATTATATCATAAAATTAGCTAACCTGATTATAATATCAGGAAAATGATACAGAAAAAGACACTGGCTGGAAATGAAGTGTGATACAGTGATAGAACTAATGAGAATCATCAGCATCATGTATATGATTTCCACTGGACAGGAACCAGCGTTATATACTAAAGCTAGTAAAACCAGGTGGGAGTTCATATATCGTCTTTTTATCACATGTCAGCAGCACAATTATCATATTTCTAATCTACATTTCAATAATAAAAAACTTCTTGCCAATGATTTGTAGTGCTTTTAACTTACGCTTTTTCATATCTTCAAGAATAGCTGTTGCACCTCTACACATCTGAAAAGAACAGCAGTGAATTTCTCAATCCTAAAATAGCAGTAGTCAAATAAGCATTGAATTGAATTGGTAAACACAATTTAACTCACTGTGGTTCCACAGTCACCATCGCCCACTTTACTGTCCCATTCATTTAGGCTATCCTTGAGATTGATAATTGCAGTAGCACTTGCTTCAATAGCAGCCTCCAGGATACACCCTTGCTTGCTCAGCTCCTGAGATGGAGCAAAAATCTGCAGAAGAATAACAAATCATGATAACTGAGGGACTGCAAATGCATATGCCAGTGTGATAAAAGACAAAAAAAAAAGCAGAATAGTCTTGAAAGTTCTGTGAAAAGGGACAATGATAACAGAGCCCACAGTTTTCCCATTCTCTGGATCTGGCATTGAGAAACTGAGACGAAGCAATACCACATAACAGCTTGAAATAAAAAAAAATTACACCCATAACCCCTACAGAACCAGCAAACAGCTACTTGCACTTCTTGCACGCTTCCACATTAGATCACAGGTGAACTGACGGCCTCAGAAAACAGATCGCAAAAATCCAAATAGGGAATTTGTTTTACCTCGTCATCCTTAATTGAAGGTGATGGTGGTAGAGGAACAGGAAACTTTGCTAGTGGACGGTTTCCTACAGTCAAGTGATCAACACTAAGTTTAGAAAATTGATTCATAATTGAAAGGTTCTGATAGAGCTTAAAATATTTTTCCCCGTGCTGAAAACATGATTCGGAAGTTTTGATAGCAGTCTATGTGTCTTAATAAATTCCCATTTATCTGAACAACCTACACTTGTTACAGCCTTGAATCAATGTTCGCACAACACAGATCAATGGTAATAAGTAATCTTTCAGGAATTCAAAATGGATGCCCCCTACTCCTAAGTATGCTAATTGTTTAATTATACAAGCATAATAACAGATGCAGTTTAAACTTACGATTCCAAGGCCAAGCTCCATTTGCCTTGGACCCAAACGATCAGAAGTTACTTGCCCAGGCAATGTGCAAACAGAAAGTGCAACTCCCATCGTACCAACAACCTCAGATGCATGCTTTGCTTCTGCAGCAACCACTGCAAGAGATAAACCAGCATCTGCTGCAGCCCCAGCAACCTATGGATTAAACAAACTTAAAATTAGACATTAGAGTGCGAGAAGAAATTTTACAAGAAATCATTGGCTGCTTCAAGTTTGAAATCCATGCAATACAAAAAGGGCAGACCCAGTGCCGGAGGCTCCCACATGAGTGGGGTCTGGGGAAGGGAAAAAACGAGGCAAGCCTTCCCCCCGCAAAATTTGCGGAGAGACTGCTTCGAACCCGCGACCTGGTGACTCAGTGAGACAGCTCTCACCACTGCACCAGGCCTGCCCTTCAAATCCATGCAATACAATGCCAGAATTTCTTCCAACAGAAAGGATCTTATATGCCAAAAGTCAAGATTATTGAAAAACTAATTATTACTTACTGTTTCCCCATTCCAAGTCTAGCACCTAACTGTACAAGGTTTAGTCACTATATTTTATGTACAGGATGCTGGCTTAGATTAGAAACGTGTGTTTCATGAACAAGCAGTATATCTTTGATTCCAGTTAAGATCACTATTGGTTAGTGTTTAGTGTTCATCTTAATATAATGATACGCAGCTCTCCTACGTGTTCGAGAAAAAGTGTTTAGTGTTCATGCAGATAGCACATCAGCTTACTTAAAAAGGCACTCCCATTATTTTAGATGAGCATAGTGAATAGTTAAATACTTAAATTAGAGGGAAAAGGCTGCTTGCATGAAAAAGCAGATCAGATGAGTGTTGAAGAGATTTTTGCAGGTCAACTTGGCTGAGTGAAAGAATGTAACATGCCAGTAACTGGGGATGAGCCTAAGAGGAAAATCTAGGATAGAAAATACAATGGCAACAACAAAATACCTTATGCACACGAATTGTTCCAGCTAAACCTCTTCTACCAGCTATCCCTCTAGGTGGGGGAAGGGCACAATCATCTCCAACAATGACCATCTACAATTGGAGGATAAATGATACATAGTCATTAAAATTAATATGATCTGCCACACAACATAGTATGTTATGACCGGGGTTCAGTACACCCGGAGGAGGGCCATTAGTGGCTAGAGGCGCAGGGAATTACGGGCTTGGCCCAATTTATTATTATTTATTTCCTATTATTAGCAAGCAGGAGAGTTATATAAGCAGATGTAAGACACTTTGTGATGGGAGGAAAAAGAGCCAACATAATTGCTCGGCTTCCTTTAGGGAGCCGGGAGACCCCCAGTAGCCCTAGCCGCCTCCTTCTCTTCTCTTTGCCTTGCTGCACCACGGTGCCCAGTGAAGCGCCGTCGCCGTGCCTCAGCCTCTCCCCTCCCTCTCACTCGTACAACCTACGAACTCGCATCGGTAGGGATCGGATTCCTATCAATCTGGTATCAGAGATCTCTGGTTCGATCATGTCCAGCCCTCTACCGAGTTCTTCCCACCCGCCGTCGCCGCACACCCACCCGCCGCCACATAAACTTGGCGTCTTCGTCGTAAGTATGCTGCCTGACCTACAGTATGCATTATTATTGGCATTAGGCGCCATGGTGTCCTCGAAGCGATCGCGCCCTCTACCCCGGCGCCGTCGTCTCCCGCCGCCCTCGTCCTCACCCCGGAGCAAATGACGGCCGCAATCCTAGAATTAGGGCAGGCCGTGGCGGGCATCAGGGCCTTCCTCGTTGAGCCCTATGCGCCCTAGCCGCAGTTGCCACCTCCTCCGCCGCCACACCAATAGTAGCTACCACCGCCGCCGCCGCCCGCCCTCGGCTGCGACCACGGCGTCGGTCATCTCGTACCAGTATGGGATGCCCTCGACGGGGGACTGTGACGACCTCGTTCCCAGCCGTGCCGCCGCCGTCCCAGGGCGTCCCCATCCAGCAGATCAGGTTTCCGTCGTCGCCATCACCGCTTCCGGCTTGGATCGCCGGTTCGTCGAAACCCATCTACACGGCGCCTAGTACCCAGCCGCACCTACCACCGCTCCCGACCACCGGGGCTATCATGGCGCATGGCGGCGCCCCGGCTCCGGATGTCCTCTACGGCGGGGTGGACGGCCCCCTGTTCCATGGCGGCAGCCTGATGCCGACGCTCTCCGCCACGTCGCCCTCGCTGGACAGCACGGGCGTGGCGCCCTCGGCCGCCGCATAGGACCCGCCGCCGCCCCCAAGTTTTACAAGTTGGAGTTCACCACATACGACGGCTCCGTTGATCCCAATTGGTTCAACCAGTGTGAGCAATTCTTTGAAATCGTGGTCGGCCTTTCGCTTCGCCTCGACTGCACTCGCCTCCTCCTATCATCTCCGGGGGGTGGCCCAGACTTGGTACTACGCCCTCGAGCAGGACGAGGGCATGCCACCGTGGGAGCGCTTCAAGGAGTTGTGTCGTCTGCGCTTTGGCCCTCTGATCCGCGGGAGTCGACTGGCTGAGCTAGGCCGGCTGCCGTTTGTTTCCACTGTGCAGGAGTTCGCCGATCGCTTCCAGGCGGTGGCATGTCACGCCCGGGACGTCTCCACGCGTCAGCGAGCCGAGCTTTTCATTGGTGGCCTTCCGGATCATATCCGGATGGATGTGGAGATGCGCGACCCCCCGGATCTCCAGACGGCCATGTACTACGTCCGGGCATTTGAGCGTCGTGCGGCTGCCATGCAGCCGGCACCGCATCCTCGAGCCGCTCGTCCGACTCCGCGTCAGGGTCGGCCTCCTCCGGTGCGCGCACCCGGGGCGGCCCAGGCGGGATAGGCCCCCGCGGCGCGCCCGTTTCGCCGCCTTACACCGGCGGAGCAGCTGGAACGTCGTCGCCAAGGACTATGCTACAACTGCGACGAGCCCTATGTCTTTGGGCATGTGTGTAGCGGCTCTTCTACCTGGAGTCCGAGGACTACATTGAGGAGGACGCCGCGCCCGCCGAGGACGGGGATGCGGCCATACCACCAGAGGAGCCGGTCGCCCAGGGGCAGGTGGCCCCTAACGCTCTCATCGTGTCCCTCCATGCAATTGCAGGTATCCGGATGGAGAACACGATGCTGCTGCCGGTGATGGTCAAGGGGGAGCACCTCTTGGCCCTTCTTGATACCGGCTCCACCCACAACTTCCTTCGGGGCGCAACCATGCGCCGCCTAGGGCTTCCGCCCACTGGGGGCGTAGCTCCACGTCACCGTCGCCAACGGCGATCGGCTGCGTTGCGAGGGCATCGTCCGTCACATCCCCATCAGCATCAGGGCTGAGGACTTCTCCATCACATGCGTTAGCCTCGACTTGGGCTGCTTCGACTTCATCCTCGGCGTCGACTTCCTACGGACCTTGGGCCCCATTCTCTGGGACTTCGAGGCCATGACGTTGGCCTTCTAGCGCGAGGGTCGCCGCGTCCTCTGGAAGGGCGTGGACGGCTCTGACTCGGCCATGCCCCAGCAGCATGTGGTGGCAACCTCCATCGACTCTCAGCAGCCCTTGCTGGACCGCCTACTACAGCAGCACGGCACCATCTTCGAGGAGCCGCAGGGCCTTCCACCGGCCCGTCCGTACGACCACCGCATCCACCTCCTGCCGGACACCGCTCTCATTGCTGTGCGCCCATACCGCTACCCCTAGTTGCAGAAGGATGAGCTAAAACGGCAGTGCGAGGACATGCTCACCCAGGGCATCATCCGGCCTAGCACTTCGCCGTTCTCGGTGCTCGTGCTCCTTGTCCGCAAAAAGGACAAGTCTTGGCGCTTCTACATCGACTACCGCGCCCTCAACGCTAAGACGTCCAAGGACAAGTTCCCCATACCGGTCGTGGATGAGCTTCTCAATGAGCTCCATGGGGCTTGCTTCTTCACCAAGCTCGACCTGCATTCGGGCTACCACCAGGTGTGGATGCACCCCGACGACATCGCCAAGACCGCCTTCCGCACACACCACGGCCACTACGAGTTCCTGGTGATGCCTTTCGGCCTCTCCAACACCCCGGCTACATTCCAGGCGTTGATGAACGACGTCCTTCGCCCCTACTTGCGGAGGTTTGTGCTGGTCTTTTTCGATGATATTCTCATCTACATCTCTTTGTGGGCGGAGCATCTGCAGCACATTGCCATCGTCCTCAACGAGCTTCGAGCGCACCGTCTTCACCTTAAGCGCTCAAAGTGCTCGTTCGGGGTGACGTCCGTGGCCTACCTGGGCCACGTCATCTCTGCGGACGGCGTCGCATTGGACGCCGACAAGGTGGCGGCGGTCGCTGCGTGGCCTCGGCCGCGCTCCGCTCGAGACCTCCGGGGCTTCCTAGGCAAGGTGGGCTACTACCGGAAATTCATCCGGGAGTTCGGCCTCTTCGCGGCGCCCCTAACACGTCTCTTGCGATGAGACGCGTTCGCCTAGGACACGGAGGCAGAGGAGGCCTTCTAGGCGCTTAAGCGCGCCCTCACCACCGGGCTCATCCTCTAGATGCCCGACTTCGACAAGCTATTCATGGTGGACTGCGACGCGTACGGCGTGGGGTTTGGCGCCGTTCTCCACCAGGGTGCTGGACCTCTCGCGTTCTTCAGCAGGCCATTCGCCGCGCGCCATCTCAAGCTCGCGGCTTACGAGCGGGAGCTCATCGGGTTGGTGCAAGTTGTGCACCACTAGCGCCCGTATCTATGGGGGCGCCACTTCCTTATTCGCACTGACCATTACAACTTGAAGTTCCTCCTGGACCAGCGCTTGTCTACCGTTCCGCGCGACACCGGTGGATCGCCAGCAAAATTGTTAAACCGACTTCACCGTCGAATACCGCCCCGGGCGCCTCAACACCGTGGCAGACGCCCTGTCCCACCGCGACGCCGAGCACGGGGCCGAGGAGGATAGCAACGTGGGCGCTGCCATGTGCACCCGCTCAAGCCCCTCCTTCGCTTTCATCGACGACATCCGCCGCGCCACGGCGACAGCGGCGGACGCGCAGCTACTCCTTCGGCGCCTTGAGGCGGGCGACCTGCAGGGGCCGTGGCGCCTTGACGACGGGCTGCTCCTGCATGGTAGTCGCCTCTTCGTCCCCGACCATGGCGACCTATGCCATCAGGCGCTCCTTTTGGCGCACTCGGCCGGGCACGAGGGCGTTTAGAAGACCCTCCACCACCTACGCTCTGACTTCTACATCCCCGGCGATCGCCGCGGCCGGTGCGGGAGACTAGGTGCGGTCTGCGATACTGTCGGCCGCAACAAGACGCGAGACCCTCGCAGCTAAGCGGGATCGCTATACTGCACCGGAGGTTCCGTCCCAGGTATCGGCGGATATCTCCATGGACTTTGTCGAGGGCCTCCCGAAGGTGGGTAGCAAGTCCGTCGTACTCACGGTGGTCAACCGCTTCTCCAAGTATGCGCACTTCATCGCGCTCGGCCACACCTACACCGCCACCTCCGTCGCTCGCGCCTTCTTTGACGGCATCGTCCGGCTCCACGGGTTTCCCTCCTCCATCGTCAGCGACCGGGATCCAGTGTTCACCGACCACGTCTAGCGTGACCTCTTCTGGATGGCCGACGTCAAGCTGCGTATGAGCACGGCTTTCCACCTGCAGACTGACGGCCTGTCCGAGGTGGTGAACAAGCTAATTGCCATGTACTTGCGGTATGTTACAGGTGACCGCCTGCGTGCGTGGGTGGGCGCTCGCTCGCTGGCGAGATCTTTGCTACAACACCTCCTACCACACCACCGCCTGCGCGCCACTCCGCTGAGGTGGTCTATGGCCGCCCCCGCCACCCATCTCGTCATAAAGCCGGGATGGCCGGATGGAAGCTGGCCGCGCCCTCCTCCCATGATCGTGATAAGATCCTCGCCGAGGTGCACCAGCGCCTCCACCTGCGCATCCAAAGAAGTACTACGATGCCAACCACCGCGACTTGGAGTTCGCCGTCGACGACCGGTTCAGGCTGCGGGCGGCCGTTATTACGTAACAGTCCACGGACCCCGCGTGCGACGCTTAGCTTGGGCCTCGCTACGCAGGACCGTTCCAGGTGTTGGAGTGGCATTGGGCGCGTCGCCTACCGCATGCAGCTGCCGGAGGACGCCCACGTCCACGACGTCTTCACGTGGGGCTGCTGAAGCGGCATCGTGGAGATCCACCGGCTGTTCCGGCCACCCTTCCGCTGGTCCTCGATGGTCGCATTCTGCCAGGACCAGAGCGGGCGCTGCAGGCGCAGCAACGCCGCGGTGTCTGGTGCGTGCTGATCAAGTGGCGCGGCCTTCCGGACGAGGATGCTACCTGGGAGCCTCTCGACGAGTTCCGCGAGCACTTCCCCAACTTCCAACTCGAGGATGAGTTGTTTGCACAGGCGGGGAGAGATGTTATGACTGGGGTTCAGTACACCCGGAGGAGGGCCATTAGTGGCTAGAGGCGCAAGGAATTATGGGCTTGGCCCAATTTATTATTATTTATTTCCTATTATTAGCAAGGAGGAGAGTTATATAAGCAGATGTAAGACACTTTGTGATGGGAGGAAAAAGAGCCAACATAATTGCTCGGCTTCCTTTAGGGAGCCGGGAGACCCCCAGTAGCCCTAGCCGTCTCCTTCTCTTCTTCTGCGCGCGACCACGGTGCCCAGAAGCCGTCGAGCGTGCCTCCAGCCTCGCCCTCCCCTCTCACTCGTACAACCTACGAACTCGCATCGGTAGGGATTGGATTCCTATCATAGTAATATGTGTGTTTTTCAACCTCCATCTTATAGCCTTCAGATTTTGCCAGCTCAGCAGCTAATCCAAAATTCAGTCTATCACCAGTGTAGTTCTGCAAATGTTTGGCAATTGAAGGTAAGAAGAAATGAAGCTTAGTAAGATGAGAGCAGTGCAATGCTTCACAGTTTACACTTATAAAAATTGAACAAAATGGAGCACTGTAGTTTAAAAATAATGGAGAAAAGTATAATGGAGAAAAGTACCAGAATCCCTACATCAAGCATACACATTATCCAAAACAACCCACAGTTTGGCCCCTTTCAAAGCAAATGCAGATGTACCACAGACTTCTTATTGAACTAAAAATTGATATGTCCCAAGCAAATTTCAGAAAAGCAAATGTTATCCCTCCTCTCTATCCATTCTTGCATGAACACAGGACGATAGGTGGAGGAAATGGTAGTTATTGATGTGGTAATAAATAAACAATGCAAGGTCCCAAAGCATCAGATACTCATATTGCACAATCCTCAAGTATACTAAAAGATCCCTCTTATCTCATGATTTGACATTTTAAAGTTGATATCACAGTGAGAGTACATTTACTATTAGAAGGCACCCCAGGGGACCAGTTACAGCTCGAATAGCCTACAGTGAGAAGATGCAGTTAAATGTCAGCTAAGATGATTTATGCTACTTAAGAAGCTAGACATTGTTTTACTAAAAAAGAAACATACAGCTAAAATAGAATCAACAGGTGGAGAAGCGAAAACATCTCCAGAAACAGCAGCGGTCAACATCCCTGGCCCAACAAATCCAGCATGGGCAGGTTCATGGCCGCTTCCACCACCTATGAACAAAACGGGGCTAGAATAAGTAATTGAACTTGATATGAAAAAAATGAAAATATCCCAGCAACCATCAGCCATGAAAGTTACCAATGAAGATATTTTTTTCATGCAGAAGTTCCTATCTGACATTTCTTAAAGATGGAAAAGAAACAGTATGGCCATATGCTTATATATACTATTAGTTCAAATAGGGAAACACAGCAAGCGTATGAGAGATTATATACATGGATTTCTGTATGATGATGCCATGGTATGCAAGAGGTCCATGCAATACACCGTCATCCGTTCCTCTTCCAGTAGTAATGTCTCCAAAGTAGAGTACAACGTGGTACTAAATGTAAAAGGATCTCTTTTTTTTTATAGTAGTATACGAAAAGAGATTGATGGCATAAGATGATAGAGGTGGGTCATTCAATTGGCATATCTTTCTTTTCTCAAATGGAGACATTGGTTGCATAGTGATATGTGTAGCTCCTTACAAATCACTTAAAAACTTCTCTGACATTGCTGCTACAAATCACTTAAAAACTTCTCCAAATTAAAATGCTGCCCATATTGACTAACCACTCCATGAAGTATTTCTTCACAAATGATATAGGTGAATCGACCAAATTATTGTTGACAAGCCAAATCTCTGACATTGCTGCTACAAAGTATCCAATAGCTATCCTCTACAAGTACAAGAAGCATGATAGCAATAAGAAATCAAAATTTCAAACATTACATGAATAAAAAAGAAATGGAATACACCAACTTAGATAAATAGGCTTGTTTTATTTATCACCTGCAGCACACCTAGCCATCGAATATGATCCAAATCGACACCATAAGTTAGTTTGTATCGTCCATGAATGTATCCTCCTATAAGTACAAAAGAACAGAAGGATAAACTCCAACCTGATAGGAATCCCACAAAATGGATCGATGAGAGCTACTTGGCCAAGAACTAGCCATAAGTATAACCTTGCAAAATCACACCCAATATGAAAAGTTTTGAAGCCCGAATTGCAGCCTTCTTAGTTGCAGCTGTCTTGTTTGGCATTTTCTGCAGTCCAACATCTGCAACTGTCAGAGGTGCAAACATCGAATGTGCTCAAGCTCCAGATGTGAAACGCCGCATACTGCTGAAATAAAATTACTCGTATTGGCATTTGCTTGATAACCTGGCATGTGTCACCATTTGCATAGCTACGAGAAAGACACATTATATGTAGAAATCCAAAATGAAATCTGGCAAGCAACGACAAACCATGCAGAAGTATATGTAGACGAGGCGTATTCATACTTGCTGCAGCCACACAATAGCAGGGGCGCATAGGAAGGCATCTGCATCAAAAAGACCAAGGCAGACCTGAAGAAATTACTGACCACGACAAGATTACTCGAGAAAAAGTTCAGGACAGACGTACCTGCTCGAGATCGATATCCTCGCAGCAGATCCGCGACAGGAGGGCCCCGCCGTCACCTCCACCAGCGGGGGGGGCAGGGAGGGGCTTCACGGCTGGATTCGCCAGAGGAGGGTCGCCGCTCTCCCTAGCGGCTCGGCCGCAGGCCGCCGCAGCGCCCTGGCTGAGCGTCACCCCCTCAGACGCCACCAGCTCTTCCGGATCTAGGCGGCGCGCCGAACGTAGAGGACGAGGATGAACTCCAACCGAACGTAGAGGGCGACGAGGAGGAAGCAGGCCTCGGCGCGAACGCGAGCAGGGCCGCTGGAAAGCTAGAGGCGGCCTGCGGGAGATGAAAGAAGAGGCGGCGGCGGCTGCGTTTAGGATTTGTGAAAGGACGTAGGGTTTGTCACGGTGGGTGGGGCCCATTTTCTTTAGCGACAGATAGATTGATGGTACATTTGGCTTTAGCAATAGCCAGTTCAACGCAAAATATGAATACCTATAGCGACAGACACTAAATCGCTAAATGAGGATTTAGCGTCAAATGGTCTCTGAGTTATCTTTAGCGTAGATCATCCATCGTTAAATATAATTTTTAGCGTCAGATGTCTGACGATGAAGCGGTGTTGTGGTGTAGTGATATAGAGCGGGTTAAGACCCGTTTGGATCTAGATGATACCTAGAGCCAAGTTCATGGACCTAGAAATAACACTTTGATTGTATAGGGAGCTAGATGACACCCCATGTCAAGTTCGAGGACCACCCATGTACAGGGACCTGGTGATACCCGGAGCGAAGAGAGACTTTACCCCTATTCTGTAAAGTCTATCTAACGATGTTAACTTTTGGACGAAAGGACAAGTTTGCACATGCATTTTACCCCGGTTTTATTTTATATTTGTGTTTTTACCCTATTTGAGATCAGCATTTTGGCAATTTTGATACCGAATTATACAATTCAATCAGTGCAAAAGTAAACAATTTTAGAGAAAAAAATCAACAACATTTCAGCTAACAATCCATATAAACAGAAATTAATATCACACATATTACATTAATGGCAACAAACCAGATCCATATAATATGCCATTCATATTAGATGCCAACATATATGTCCATATTAGATGCCAACATAAATGTCCAAATGACATGCCAACCACCAACATATAGTTCTAAATGACATGTCAAACAAAAGTAGGAACTAGTAGTGAGTTCACCATGCAACTAGTAGTGAGCCACGTATCAAGCATTGAAACCTAATAAAGTGGCAAGCCTCTTAGAAGTTCCTCCTCTTCCCCTCCTTCCTATTCCCCTTCCGGAAGCAATTGCACTTTATATGAAAAAAGAGCAAAATTATATTACCAAATTACAAAAATATATAGTAAAGAGAAGCAATGTCTTACTTTGTCTCATTGTTGGCCTCTCTTGGCCCTCTTTCCCTTTCTCTCCCCCTTCCTGTACCACTTGCACTACACAAGAACGGATTAAAAGCTTGTTAATATAGTTAGCAACGCTTAAATTTGCACAAACAATATTAATGGACAGAATGCATGGATCACATACATTGTCTCTTTGTTGTCCTCTCCTAAACCCCTTATCGGATTATATCTCTATAGAGTCATTCTCCAAATCACACCACAAAATTATGTATTGTTTAGAACGTGCTCAGCAATGAAATCAACTAGCTACAGCAGCCCAAAGCTATGCGTGTCAACAACCTTAGTTGGTAAAGTTCTACCTTGCCACCATGATTTTGGACCAGCATCTCGCAAATTGAAAAACGACTGAACCCAAACAACAAGTTTTAATTCTCTGCGATTTGGCCTACAAATCACAACAATGAATATACAAGTTAACAAATCTAGACATTGTTGCCATTTCGCACTGCACTGAAGCACCCATCTCACAGAATGCAGATAATACCTAGGCTCTTCCATGGTGGTTGTCGTGGATATCATGGAGCTAGCCGGCTGGTGCACTCTTGGAGACCGTCTACGTCTATTGTGAGCTGCTCACGTGCCCTTCTACTACTGTTGAGCGCCTCCAGCTGCCGCCGTGCGCGCTGTTGATGGGACACATAGGGGCTGGGGTGGGGGAGCCGCTGGCCGGGGAGGGTCGCTGGCACCACCCGCCGAGGGACACCGTGGTGGGGCCTAGCCGCTGGCTGCCGCCTGCCAGGGCCGGGACCGCACTTGCCCGCATGGCACCCCTACCACCTGGGTGGTGAGGTCACGGGGGGGAGGGGGGGCAGGGGCAGGGGCAGGGAAGGAGGAGAGGCGTCGGGACCGACCTCCAGGAGGCGTGCCGCCCTGCAGACATCGGCGACAGGAACCCTAGCCACAGCGCGAGTACCGCTCGTGACATGCTGCGTGGCCAAGCGAACAGGCATGAGTCTAGGAGGAAAAGATCTGAAGAGTATGGTTGTCTTTTCGCGTGTTTTTTCCTTTTCCTTTCTTTTTTGGACATTTAATTCACTGAGTCTAAGTAGGGTACAAAGTAGGGGTAAACGGTTGCTTTATTTTACAAAACGATGAGGGCATAATCACCATCGAAGTCTGTAGCAGGGGCAAAACACCAAATTTGCATATTATCCAGCTAAGAAGAAGAAGCGAAGGGTTTAGAAACCCTGTACAAAATACACACTAGCATAACGGGTATATAATGGGGGGCGCTGACACGTTTTGTAATGTTTTACCTAATAAACAAAGGTTGCTAGTGGCCATAATCTCACATCAATTTTCACTTACTACTATCCCATGTCGGCACACAAGTGGCTACTAAAAGTCTGAAACGCAAAATGACACGGGGTAGGGGTAGGATATGGCCGGGTTGCTGGGACCAACCAGCTGAATCATATCCTGGGTACCCTCTGTCAGCATCTAGCATGCGAGCTATCGAGAACTGTAGCACCAGCCGCCGCTGTGGACACTGGACACATACAAACATACAGCACATCCCGGAAACCTATAGCCAGCCCGTGACCTTATTACCCGCCAAGCCGGCGCTGATCTCATTGCTCAGTGGATCTGAGTCGTACTCTACGGATACATGCAGACAGAGGCATGTATAACAGGGCACTACCAATATAGAAATTATCATAGTTTTTATAAACATTAATTGTATTGTCACCTAAATATTTTGCTGATATGACAAGATAGTTATTGAATAGAGAGAGCAAAAATCATAGAAATCATGTCTAAATCAGAAACCATGTCTACACGAAAATCAAGACATGAAGAGATATGATTGGTAGAGAATGGAGAGAGATGTATGTGATTGGATAAAAAATTATTCTGTAAAAATTATGCATTAGAACAATAGTTTTTATACGCAGTGTCTATGAAAATTAATAGATATAGAAAGTATTTCTAGCGTTGGGACTGCCGCACACTGTCTATTTAGGGCCTAGGGATTCCGCTAAACACGGGGCCAGTCTAGTGCTTTATTACCCTAAGATTTCAATCTGAATGCGGATTTGTTTTAGCGATTATCCGTGTACAGCTCGGTAAAAATCCAAATTTGCCAGCGCTGTCACCAAGGTCTCCAGCCATGCCAGCCCACGGGTTGACACACCGGCCGCCGACCATGCCATGGGCCATTTCTGCCCGTGCGCGCATGCATGCATGCATGTGTTGTCCAGTCACGGCTTCTTGTCCTACCCGGCCCGTCTCCCGAAGAGCAGCACCGTGCTCTATTGCTTTACGCTCCACCTTGTTTTGCTTTGTTGCATTCTCCTTTGCTGAATGCTGATTTTGCCCAAACGTTAGTAGCAGCGAGATCTCCGTATTATATAAAGCGACCTTCCTTCCACTCGGAGATCCACACTTGCAGCTGCGCCACAGCGGGTGGTGCTTGGCTTGGCGTAGCTTAGCTGCTCGTGACCAATGGCGTCCACCAAGGTGTCACTGTTCCTCGTCCTCAACCTCCTGCTCTTCGCGGCGGCCAACGCCTGCCCTTACTGCCCGGGCAACAATGGCCACGGCAGCAGCGGCCACCATGGCGGCAGCGGGCATGGCGGCGGCGGCAGCGGGCCGGGTGAGGGAAGTAGCGGCGGCAGCTGGGGAGGCAATGGCGGCGGGCCGGGTAGTGGCGGCGGAGGGTACGGCCCGATCGGTGGCGGTGGGATCGGACCCATCGGAGGCGGCAGCGGTGGCGGGTACGGCCCCATCGGTGGAGGTGGCGGCGGCGGCGGCGGCGGCGGCAGTGGCAACGACGGCACGAGCGGGTGGTACGGCCACTGCCCGACGAACGCGCTGAAGCTCGGCGTGTGCGCCAACGTGTTGGACCTGATCAAGGCGAAGGCCGGCGTGCCGGTGAACGAGGAGTGCTGCCCGCTGCTGAACGGGCTCGTGGAGCTGGACGCCGCCGTGTGCCTCTGCACGGCCATCAAGGCCAACGTGCTGGGGCTCAACCTCAACATCCCCATCAACCTCAGCCTCGTCCTCAACTTCTGCGGCAAGGGCGTCCCCACGGGCTTCAAGTGCGCGTAACCACGCACGCATGCATCCATGCGGGATTGCCGGATTGGTGGTAATCTTGTCATTGTTTGGTTGTCAATGCATTGTTAGTTTCGTTTCTGCTAGCATTAAGGTGTAGTGTAGTATGTAGCCGGGGCACGGTGTCCAAGTTCAACTTTGGGTTACCTGTACTTTTCCATTTCATAATTGAAATCATATTTCAGATTTGAGTTAAAAGGTAATCGATCGACCTGGCTGCTCCTCTCCTTCTCTACCTAATGTTTATTTTCACTAGTGTACAGCATCTAGTGGACGGGTACACGTGCATACATCAAGTTTTGCATTGTTTGATTGCTAACATGAAGGAGCAATGTACCGGTAGTACTTCTCTAAAAACCAGCACGTATCATAAATCATATTCAGTGTATACCGTAAAAGAACAAAGGAATTATAAAATGTCCCTCACCTTAATCCATCATACTCACCTCTAATCTTCTCCAATGAATGTGTTTTGAATTTTGCATCTAATGTAGATTGAGTGACACACGAGTAATGGTTTTAGACCCAACCACTAACAAGGATACGAATCAGCAGACATGTGTGTCTGCATATTGTAAACCATCACGCTCCCCCCTCTCTGTTTTTTAATTTCTCACCAAAAAATCACACCCATCCACATACCCATGACGTTCCTCTGTGCTAGCCACCCCTAACGTATGTCCCACTCCCGTCAATCACAACCACGGATCCCGGCGCAACGATGATCTCCTTACGCCTCAACAACTTTGGTTCCCTCCCACCGCCTTCCTCTCCTACACCTCCCCCCTCCCGCCTCACACCGAGTTGGCCATGTCACAGCCTCATGGGCGTATCTGGGCAACGGTGGCATTTTGTGCTGGCGGCATCGCTGGCTTAGCCACTCTAGTGGATCAGGCCAAGGTCTGGAGAATGGCGCATCGTCGTTGCCTAACCCTAAACTTAGGGTTAGGCCTCGTGTGCCTCAGTCCACCACGGATGATAATTCAGGCAGTGTTGGATCAGTCATCGTGGCCAATCCTTATCGTCGTCTCCACCGACAAAGCCTCACTCACGTCGCATCTACGAGTCAGTCGTGCTCGGGGTGGCCCATGTTGGCTGTTGCTTTGTTGTTTGTTATATATCTGGTAATATGGATAAATCCTTCTAGCAATTGCTTATGATTGGTTCAGGCATTTGAGGAGATGTTCGTCATAAACTGATGCTTTCTAATTGTTGGCCAAATGGGTTAAGGATGGACATAGCGGTGGGATGAGGATGACTTCGAGGAGGTTTGGGTTCAGTCTGATGATCTTATCTAATGAAGTTTGAGCTTTATGATAGTCTATGCTTTTATCTCTTCATGACTCTCTGCCAGTCAAAAATTATATATTTTTTCCTTTAGTTGAAAAATCTCTAGCCTTTAGAATGCTTCCAAATCGGAAAACAAATCATGGATTTTAAGTACGGGTTTAAAATGTTCATACCTCAAACCAAGTATAAGCAAAACAAACCCTTTGTTAGACTGCTTAAATTAATATAGAAATAATGAATTCCAGCTAATGATTTCTATATGATACTATTTAGTATTCTTGAAATTCTTTTGCTATCTACTTTTGAGCTACACATATTTGTCGTGAGAAGGGCTACATATAAGATCTATCACATGCGCATGCAAGTAGATTGGGCAGGATGGGTAGCTTGTCAACTCATGTTAACTTCTCTTTAGTATATGCAAAAGAGGATGGATAGTCCAAGTTATCTTGCACATAGACTAGAGGCTCCTCTTTAGCAGGTAACATTGTTAATTGTCTCACAGTAAAGATGACACAGTTGTTGTCAAAAAAAAAGATGATGACACAGTTTCATTAGGCCCTAATGCTTTATATAGTTTCCTTCAACATAAGGTGAATTATAGATATAGCTTATTATAATTATGTGTTTTCTTATATACTACTAGCACATATAAACCATTACAAACATGTGATTTGACATATATATTCCATTACAAACATGTGATTTGATAAAGTCTTGCACCAGGTCTAAAATCTCATTTTGTTCCTTGGTTGGAATCACGTTCAAATGTTTGAATAAACCCTAGTTTACCTTTCATTGATCCTTGGTCATATGTGCTCCTCCACTATTCATGGTATTTGTGCAAAAAATCATTTACATTCCTCGGAAAGCACTTTGGAACACAAAACTTTTTAGAAAGGCGACAAGACCTTTGACGATGATTTTATCAGACGAGGTAAGAAAAAACAAAGATACGAATACAGCTTGGTCAGGGCCTCCAGGACCCCTCCCACCACAACTCCGCAACCCACCGTCAAGCCGCCACTAGAGGGTAGGAACAACTGAAAAACAAAACCTAAAAAACAACCACAGGCTCGACCATGAAAGCAAAAACCAAAAGGTCTACTGAAGAAACAAACTAAAAGCTCGGGGCTATCCGTCCATATGTGTCAGTCTTGTCGCCATCTGGTATTGTTGTATGCCATCCTTATAAAGTATTGCGACTTGTCTTGGTTGCAGCGACTTTTGTTGGAAGGTTCTCCTATTTCGTTCTTTCTAGATGTTCCACCAAAAATAGATCATAATCCCATCCATCTTTTTTCTTTGCCCTCTGTCGAATTTGAGATGACATTTCCACTAGTAGTCATGTAGTGACCCACTCATTGGCACCGTATCTACTATTGACAAACCAAACCATTGTTTTTATTAGGATCCACACCTCCTTGGCGAAAGGGTAGTCTTTGCAGAGATGCGTCGGTGTCTTCGGATCGACGTCGCATAACTTACAGATCGGATCATTTTGCCAATTTCGTTTGCTTAAGTTGTTTGCGGTAAGAATCTTCTCGTGCAGCAATGTCCATGCGAAAAAATGGCACTTGAGTTGAGCCGCGGCTTTCCAAATTGGAACACAAAACTTGTGGAGTTAGATTCAAGGCGCGTTTGGACGTCAGAATCGGTTCCGTTGCTGGCTAGAAACACTAGAATTACATCCAAACAGAGTTGCAACGTCGGGAAACGAATCTGAAACGTTTCACGTGTTCTATAGCCGAACTCGAAACGGCACGTCACTGGTTTCGCAGTGATTCATGCTGCCAGCTTAACACGTGACCTCATGTTTCACCGCTTGTTTGTTCCGCACCATGGAGCTGTTCCGCACCATGGAGCTAGCATGCACCACACAGGTTACTTGTCATTAAGGATGAAAACGGTTGGAAACGGTCGAAAAACTTCTAAATTGTTTTCTACTTTTACATTTGAAATACGAAAACGAAAGCAAAAACGGTAAAGCCGGACACGAAAACGAACGCGAACTTACGAAATATCGAGAATTCCGAAAACGAACCAATTCGAGCGGATTTATGTCGAACACGGTCGATATACGAAAACTCAATACGGAATACCGACCCGTAGGACCAAGTGCATGACTAAGTATATACATGATCAAGTTCAAATGCATATAATAATTAACAAATGTATGATCCTTGGTCTTAGGTATTTAACACAATAGCCGACACATAAATACAAGTCTAGAACAAGCAATTAGTAGCTAGCAGGATAATAGAAATTAAAATTAGATGTAGCAACTACCATACCATTTTAGAATCTAAACTAAAATTAGATGTTATAGAAACCATGAACTCGAACTGAGTCAGGATAATTTTATTAATTTTTTGGAATAGATGTAGTATTTTATTTTAAAGATTTATTTAGATTTTTCTTTTGAGTAACAAAGATTTATTCGACTGAGGCAAAAACTATCAAATAATTGACTTCGCAGGTGGGGGTTAAACCGATGAGCTTGATGGGCTATGGCCCAGGTGGGCATTCGAGTAGATGAGGCTGGGCGCCGTCTATAAGAGAGGGCAGCTGGCCACTAGTAGAAAGAACACAGTTGTGTGATGAGCAACCCGTAATTGGGTTGTATGACCTATGCAGTTGGCCAAATTCGGTTTAAACCGAATTTTGAATTCGAATATTTCAAATTAAAAGTAGAAAAGTAGAAAACGGTCGAAAAATATCTAAACCGTTTTCTACTTTTACATTTGAAATACGAAACATCTGAAATGCGAAGACAAAACGGTAAAGTCGGACAAAAAAATATGAATTCGATCGGATTAAATATAGAAAACGATGCGGTTCGGTTTGCATTCCGTTTTCATCCTTACTTGTCATTGCTTACGAGAGTCTCCAGGAGTCCAGTGGGACCGGATTAGATTACAAGCCAAATTACATGCATTATTATGCTTATATGGTTCTAATAAAAGGCTATATTTCCCTTAGTTATAATAGACTTTTTAAAAAACAAACCATGCCAAGGGTACTTTGATCTATTCCACCATATTCTCTTCTTTTTAGAATCTGAATCTAGATAGATGGCCAAACGGGTTCCAACAAATGATTCTGCTCTCAGAGAACCGATTCTTCTGAGAATCTAACACTACCGGACAACCTCTCTTTGCCAAGTGCTTCCCGAAATACACTTGGCAAAGGCTTTGCCGAGTGCCGCACTCGGCAAAAAATTAATCAGCAAAGAAGCCTTTGCCGAGTGCTTTTTGTCGGGCACTCGGCAAAGCCTTTGCCGAGTGCCAGAAAAGCACTTGGTAAAGATTTATACTCGGCAAAATGAAAATACGAAAAAACCCAAAAATAATAGCAAAATTTTTTTTCAGAGAAGGCCGCCATCGGCCAGCGCCCGCTCGTCTCCATCGAAGTCGCTGCATTTTTTGTGTAAAATTCGCGGCTAACGCGGCCGGCGGGATTCGAACTCATGACCTCTCCCTCGCGTATCTGCTGCTCTACCACTGCACTACACTGTCACTTGTGTCTAGATTCCGTTATCTATCCTCATATATTATACTAAACCGTGAGTAAATTGTTTGTTTGAGGCCCTAAACGAATTCAAATCAAAAAATGGTCAACTACAAAGTTTCATAACTTTTCGAGATCTACAATTTTCATTTAGGAAGTTTTTTCATCCGAGGTCATTTGAAAAATTCAAATTT